CTGCACATTAGGTAGTTGGGGCATTAATTGATAATTATTTTGGATTATTCCTACAAGTACATAATTTGGAACGTGCCATTATATTGCATTGATTAATAGTTGTTTGAGATTTTTCAAATGAGTGATTTGACATGTTAAACTCTCTTATTTTTGAAAATGGAGTCTTCGAAGTGGAATATGAAGATTTTGGATTAAGCTTGGTTTCGTAACGCCCTTATGGGTGTTTATTCTCTAAAATGCAGCTGTCTTTCAAAGTGCCCGTTGCAAATGGCAAGTCAGGATACAACGATGGTACCGGTACACGTTTATATCATTAGTAGGTAGCAGATTGTGTCCATTCTACTATATCATTTAGCTAAATATTTAGTTGTTCTTTTCAACTAAAAATTATGCTTAAATGCTGTGATTGGCCTAAGAAATGTATGTCTTTGCATTAACTGTTAATGATTGTGAGTTTTGGTTTAATGGTGAAAAGTCCATTTATTTAGAAGTCTAAATTGGGCAAACCTATTGGACAATAGGAATGCCATGCATTAGTGTCGTGGGAGGTTTGTTTGATGTCTCAGGGTGTTAGATTTTTAAGAAGGTTGTTTGTTGTGGCAGAGAGTCCCTAAAGCTAGCGAGGTATTCCTATGTGGGCTTTTTCTTTGTTTGACTTTTCTCGCCTTTTTCTTATCTCTTTTTCTATTTTTGGTTTTTGTGTGATACCTTCAGTTGCTACGTCTTCATTTGTGAGCCATCTATACTTTTCTTATTCAGTGCCTAAAAATCATATATACTCGATTGCATAGTAGTTACTAATAGATACATTTATACCAATAGAGAGATTTTAAGTTTTATCAGTTGTTAGTTTTAATATTTACTTACATTGGTTGTTTATGTAGTTTTCTTTGTAATATTTCTCATTATACAACTAATTACTATGGCTACGTAGTTGTATAAGTGGGGGTTGGACATGATAGTTCTTAGAAGCATCAATACTTGAAGGTTATTATAATGACCAAATTCTAAAGTTATTGTTTGCCTTCAACTTGCTTGGAGCATTTCAGTTATGAATCAATTGTTCTCTCCGTGTAGTTAACTCTCAGACAAATCGAAAATCTTGCTGATATGTGCTTGATTGTAGTTAAATTTAGGGTTCTACTACATTGTTGCTTTACTCTTTTTTCGTGGTTGAGTCTGCTTCAAAAAATTTAGTTTGATTTTAGAAAATTTTGCTTCTGCAGTCTTGTCTTGCCACCAACGCGTTCAATAGATGGAGACGGGAGAGGCGAATGCTATTTTTGTGTTGTTGTTTCTGGTTTAGGGATCGGTTTGTGAAGAAGAGGGAGAAGAGAGGGGGAAAGGGAAATGCAGGAGAGGGGGATAACTCTTTTCTCCGACAAAAATGGAGTGAAGAAAGGAATTATGATCAGTAAGAATATGGTTATCTTACATAACGGTCTCTATTCTATTTGAATTGAGCTTGAGAGGCAGTGATAAGGACGAGCTGCAACCAATTCATAGTGAGAAGAGAGCTATGAACTGTGATCATGTCTTATTTCAAGTTAGAAGGTAGTTTCAGTATAAGGATTATTTATTTTGACAAGTTGTTTCGTCCATGATTCTTGGTAGTTTCAGTGCCATTCTAGGCAATGTTTAGTCTGTAATTTTTGAGAATTGATGTGCGAGTAATGACTTTCACTTAGCTTCAACTATTATGTGTGTATTTATTGGCATGTGATAGAATTCTCTTTTCCTTTTCATTGAATTCATTTTCATACTCTAATTGTATTATTTGTACATAGGCAAATCATGCTCGAGATGGCAACTCGCTGATATGGCTGGTGCAAGGAATGAAGCCATCATTAGAATTCAGACCGACAACGGGGAGGGATGCCTAGGACTAATTCAATGATGATTGATGATGGTATAATAAAAACTGCAGTCTGCATCAGCACCAATTTCTAGGCCTAAGTAAAGGTATTCAACCCAGAACTCTGCTTAGCGCTAAAAATTGCCCTCACCCAACCTTGATCCTGTTTGACCCACTTCTGAAGAGTAAAGATATATGACTAATCCTCTCCGTTCGTATTTTCTTATTGACTCTTTCTGACCCTGTAGGTTGGGGCGGGGCGGGAAGAATTGGATTAGTGGGTCGGTCCTAATCAAGTGGAATCCCAATCCCTTCACTCTCACTTGCTTTCTCTCCTATTCCACAAGTGGGTAACATACAGTAATCCGGCCAACGGGCCGGGTAATAAGCTAGTTGAATGTATAATCAAATGCGGAAAAATTGTGCAGTTGATGAAGTAATATTGGTCTTTGCCACGCTCCTCTCAGCTCAAATGGTTCAAACTTTTTAAAATTTTTTGTCTCAAATCCTATGATGAGATTCATTTATATTGTCCTTCGTCGCTCGTATTTTTAGCTATGTCACGAAATTATATGCATCAACGTCTATTTACTTTCGTTTTTGTTGGTTTGAAGCTCTGTAAATGTGTACATAGAATTAGTTTGAAGCTCTTATAGATCCAGTTCATAATGCATCACATCGAAAGTTACCATGTTATTTAAGGGTTCGTTTGGAAGTTGCGATTGTTTTGTTGAGATTGTCATTATGCATGTATTGTTTACAATGCATCGTTTTTTTATTTTTTTAGCAGAAACAATACATGGATTGTTTTTGTGATGTGACAGAAACTATCACTCATTTTGAGTGATTGTTATATCTCAACTTTTAGTTGTGATTGTTGAGATAGTTGAGTTGAGATTGTTTTGTCTCAACTTTTAGCTAATGTGACAGACACAATCACACATACCAAACGTTGTATTCTACAATGCATCAAATTCGACAATACATGTATAATATTATACATGCATTCTCAACAATACATCTATTTAACAATCGCAACTTCCAAACGAACCCTAAAGTTACCGCGTGGGTTCAGTTGAGATTTTACCCCTAATTATTGAAGAGAGGGGTAGTGATTGGAAGACAGCTGGTTTGCAGTTCCTACATTGCTACAAACTAGAGTTTATATATATGTATCTTCTTGGGCTAGGCTGAGGCTGACTAGGCGGTGACATATATAGGACTGCTTCAAACAGCTTAAATTCAATTTTTTATTTTTTACAGCGCATACTAGTTCAGAAAATGAAGTGCATGAAACAGTAATAGATGGAAGAGATAGAGAAATGTGGATTAGAATCCCCAAGGCTGACAGCTGCCACCATCTAACTTTGTTCTGGTTCTAGATCTAATTTTTTGTGCTGCCAATGCCAAGCTTCACGCTAACACAAACAAACTGCCCCTTTACATCCTGTTCCAATTTAATAGCCAATCCCTCCATGCACAATATGTATAGTTGTATACCAACATTTCCCCACCCCAAAATCGCCCTATCTCTTTTCGCTGGTCATAGCTAGCTACTCTGTAAGTCAACGAGGGAGATTTTTTCTTTATTTAAAGAAAAACCTATGCTTGACTTTCCTATAGAATCATGCACGTCGAAAACTCATTGATTCGATATAACTTTTTTTCTTTTTTGGTAGAATGGTACGACCCTCTTTAATTGTACTCATTAGTAATCACATATCATGTTTATGATGTCTTGGTCATGTTTTAACCGTCTTGTTACGCATTTGAATCCAGGTACAACGTTACGAACAGTCGGACACAACCGGAAGGAAAATGCCAAACTGTTGGATGATAAGAATGGTCCACTATTGGAGTCGTCTCTGCCTGGATTCTTCCCCTCTCCTCTCCGGGGCCGAATCTCTTTAATATACTCCAAGGCTCCTCCATACATAACCATTGAAATTGAAGACTCTTCCCCATCCAACTTGTGCTAAAATGGTGCTTCGAGTACAGCTAAGTAAGTTAATATCTGACGACTCCTTTGAATGAGTCCAAAAACTGCCCAAAATTTGAAGGCTCAATTTATTATGTGGCCTCAGTTACTCTCTTCCCCAAGCACTGCCTGCTTCTTACTTCGATTTTGGGTACTGCATCCCAGCTGCCATTTCATTAGTCCTCTTTTCCTCCCCTTAAAGTAGAAGGATAAAAATGTTGATTTTTTTTTTTACTGCTGTTAAGTGGTAAAACACACGCCCACCGTGGGGCTCGAACCCACGACCACAAGGTTAAGAGCCTTGAGCTCTACCAACTGAGCTAGACGGGCTGTGGTGAAACTGTTAAAATTTCTGCTTGTTGTTGGATGGTGGCTCTTCTCTCCTTCCCTTCCTAGGTGGGGTGTAACAGAGTTGTAACGTCGTCTCATTAAATTATGTTTGGTTATATTATCTTGTCAAATTAAAAGCCATCAAATACCTGAAAATTACATACAACCATTCCATATCACATATAAGAAAGACATTTTATTGTGATAGGGTACTTGGTCCTTGGAATGGACCCATTTGCCATTTGAAAATCAATTTTTTTAGGATGACAATTAAATTAGTTGTCGAAGTATAAGCTATGATGTATGCAAAAGTTAAAAAGATTGAATATGTAGAGAGATAGACCAAATACGCAGTTACAATCATAAAGAAAAAAGTTAGCCTTGTTCTTGAAAGATTTCAAAGCCTTTACACTGAGCAAGAATTCTAATGGTTTTCGACAAAATCCGAAAGCTCAACTCAATGACTATAAACTCAGAAGTCTTTTTATCCATCGTAATATAAGTTCTAGATGTTGAAATGGACAAACTCAATAACAATTTTGCACAAAACAATTCTTTACATTCACCTTCATTAATCAACTAAACCAAACATTTCATTACAAGAATTTACATTCACCATTCGTACTTCTATTTTTTACCTTCTCACATTCCACTTCACTTCTATAGACATTCTCCACCCATGTACAAAAATGTTGATGAGCGGTAAAAATTAGAAGTACACCTCGTCCCCCATCCACGTATTTACTTAACCACATCTGAGACAGATCCCCTGCTCTCGACCTCATCTTTATTTCATGCACTCCTTCAAAAAGTCAAACGCCAACTCCCCGGCGCACTTTAGCCTTGGTTCAAGCTCTCCCACAAAGATGCGCACTTCCTTCTAGCAAATCCAACCTTCCTCTTCTCTAAATCGTAAACCACCTCAAACCCTTGCTGCTGGTAATTTCCCAAAGTAGCCCCCGGCCCACCGCTAAGCTCCTCCTCATCCCCACCGTTCATCAACATCAAGCACCCAACTTTCCGCTTCCCTTTCTTTCCATCCCCACCGTCCACAAATTCATAGAAATAGTTCTTCCTAGGCATCACCACACTAGATCCATTCCCGGAGAAATGCAGCACAAGGCTGGGAACGCTCGCGACGGCGTCGTTGTAGTAATAACACGGGCTCAACCCGGTATTCGCCTCTACTTCCCGCGCCCGCTCGTATACCCGCCCGACCCGGTTCTCAAACTCCGCCACCACGGAATTGTACAGACCCGCCGGGAGCATCGTGAAAGTGGTACCAGAATCCACCACCAACCCGCCCGTCCCTCCGCCGTCGACCTTTTTGAGAAACGCCGGCGCCGGAATATTCCTCTTCCCAACCGAAATCCCCTCCAGCCCCACCGTGTAGAAATACGGATGCTTCGGATTCTCCAGCAAAGAAGTGTACACGTAGCGGGTCGGGTCATTTCCCTCATTGCCTCCGCCGCCCACACGCTTCTCCTTCTCCTCGTCAAATCGCCCGAGAATCAGCGGGCTCGGGCGGCGGACACGATCGGAGTCGAACGAGTGGGAGACCAAGCAGTAGGAGAATCGGTTCCCGAGCTGAGGCGAATCGGCGGCGAGCTGAGCTGGCAAGGACAGCACTCCCCGGCCGAACCCTGCGACCCCGACGGGCTCCGCCAACGCCGTGTGAGCGCATCCGAAAGTGAAATTTCGGAGTTTTAAAGACGGGGACGCTAACGGGAGGGTAACGGCGTCGGTGTAAAGCCGCGCCACCAAGCTTCCGTCGCCGTAAGCGTAGTAGAAGGAAGGGCAACTGTACGACTGACAATCGGAGGTTTCGATTAAGTCCAATGGGCAATTGGCGATTGCGCAGAGGTCGGAGGAGGGGAGATTGGAGTGGGCGGCGGAGCAGGCGGCCGATTTACAGGGTACGGCGGCGGCGGAGGAGGAGAGATTGGCGAGAATTGCTGCGGCGGCGGAGGATTGGGTTTCGGTCTTGCCCTCGCAGAGGATGCACTCGAAGGGGCGGCAAGGGAACCAGACGAGGTCGCTGCCGGTGTCGAGGTAGAGAGAGACGTGCTGGGGAGGGCTGGAGTTGAGGGTGAAGGAGAGGGTGTAATCGCTGCCCGGAGACAGGGGAAGGGAGACTTGGCGGTGAGTCTTGTGGTGACGATGGCGGTGGCGGTGGCGGGCGGCGGAGCGGGCGGAGGCGGATTTGAGGAGGTGGTGGGTGGAGGTGTATTGGGTTGTGGAGAGGGAATGGGTTAGAGGGAGGAGGAGCTGCTGGGAATGGGAAACAGAGACATGCAGGAGAAAACAGAGGAGGGTAAAACAGGGGAAGAAGAAAGCAGGGGAATTTGGGTTTGCCATTGTGTGATTATTTGAGATAGAGAAGGATTTAAGGAGTGTGTGAGAGAGAGAAGGGATTTATAGGGGAGAAGTGGGAAGGAAGGGGAGTTGTGGGGTTTATGTGAGGGAGGGCAGGGCAGGGAGAAGAGTAGGTTGGTGTCAAAGAGGATTTGTGGTTTTCATTTGATTGTGGACTGTAGAGAAATTGGAAAAGAAATGGTGATAATGATTGGCAGGGAAAGTTATATTAAGCAAAAACAAGGAAATAATTGGGGGAGTTTAGATTATGATTATTATAAAGTGAGGATATGGATGGTTTGGGAGCAGAGTTGTTAATTTGGAATAAAGAAGTTGGGAGGTTGGTGGTTGTTCTATTTTGCAATTTATTATCTAATCGTCACTAATAAAAAAAAACAGCATTTTAGAAGTACATCATCAAGCCCCACATTTTTAACTTTAAACTCTTACAAGAATGGGAAGGTGAAGCATCCATAGTTTGAAAGGAATAGGATACGAGTATTGTGAGTCATTTTTGCAATATCTTACTGTAATTGTGGATACAAATGAAAGTTTATCAAATAGTCTAACGAGATTTAGTCGGATTGGTCTTCTCATTACTATACAGTTGCGACATATGGTTGAAAAAAACTAATAAATTTGACTATATTCTTTAGGCTTAATTGCAAGTTTGGTCACTCGAATTGCTACAAAATTTCATGTTTGGTCACTCGAATTGGTTTATTCCATTCGTAGTCACTTAAATTAGGTGAAAAGTCCAACTTTGGTCACTCTCCGTTAACCTCCGTCAAACTCCGTTAGTACTGTCAGTTAACTGTTGACGTGGCTAACAGACGTGCTTAGTCATCCTATTTTAAGAAAAAAAAAACATGCCACATCATTAACACCTCCATATTTTAAAAGTCCACCCAAACCCAATCAGCCCCTGAACCGACCCATTCACCTGTTCCCCCTCTCCTTCCCCCCTCTTCTTCCCCAGCTCCGACCCCATTCAATCTCCCAAACCCTATTATTGACCGCTTAATTTTCACCGAAATCCCAGACCCCCCGTCGCTCTTCGTTGCCGTCGAAGCCCTACTAGGCCGCCTCCGAGCTTGCTCCTCCCCGTCTCTCAACTCCCCACAAAGCACCGCGTAACATTCTCATAAGAAGATCCGCCGCTCTCCACCGCTTTCCGAGCCATCCCGGCGAGCTCCGTCGCTCTCTTCCTCATCGCTTCACACTCCTCGTCGCCGCGCACCACTCTCTGCACTGCCCTCACCACATCCTCCCTCTTGACCGTCGCCGCTTCGACCTCCTCCCAATCCACCATCATCCGTTGCTCCACTCCCAGACTAACACCGATCCCCAGCACTTCGACGGCCAGCTTCTCGTTCACAAGCTGGTCCCCGAGCAACGACCACGTAGTCAACGGCACTCCCGCGACGCACCAGATTTTCCCATTCCCACCATCCCCTTTCTTCAATTCCTCGACATACTCTGTCTCCAGCTATTCATGATCACTCTGTTAGATTCCGATTCCGCTTTCAGCATCTTAAGCCTGATCCCTCTGTTCTCCATCCTGAACCGCATGGGCAACTGATTTCTGGTGAACTTGATTCGATCGAGTACGGGAAGAGAGAAGTAATCTGAATCTGACTCGGGGTATCAATTTCTTCGGGATGGAGGCAGATCAATCGGACGGTCAGGAGACAGAGGCAGCCGAACCCTTGGAAGCTGAATCTAGGGATCCCGAACTTCCCCGCCAGAGCGGCGGTGTACGGCAGGCTGATGTCTGCGACGATGCAGTTCGGTGTCGAGGAGAGTCTCCGGAGGAGGGATTCGGCCTATGCTTCGGCTCGGGTCAGGGGTTGATTGGGTTTGGGTGGACTTTTAAAATATGGAGGGGTTAATGACGTGGCATTTTTTTTGTTGTTAAAATAGGATGAGTAAGCACCTCTGTTAGCCACGTTAGCAGTTAACTGACGGTACTAACGGAGTTTGGAGATTTTTCCAATAATAGCACCCTAAAAAAAAAATTACAAAAATAGCACACATATAAAAAAATTGACAGAACTAGCACACATTTTTATGGACCGCACCTCCATGATGCGTTTTATACGTAAACCGCACCTGAAGGATGCGTTTAACGTATAAACCGCATCATGGAGGCGCGGTCTCAGTGTGGAAACGCATGCCAGCGGAGCGATCCGCGCCAGCTGCGGAACGGTCTTTAAGACCGCTAGATGGAGATGCGATCTGACGGTGGATCGCATGCCAGCGAAGCGATCCGTGCCAGGGAAGGGGGAACGCAGCTGGAGGCAGCGGTCAACCCTTGGGAAGCGCAAACCGCATCGGGAGGCAGCGGTTTTCCTTAGGCCAAAATTACTGGACCGCCCCTGGGGGGTGCGGTCTGATGGGTATAAATACCCCCCCTCCCCCTCTCATTTCTTCACACCACAACCCATTCTTCCTCCTCTCTCTACAATTTATCTCTCTAACTAAACCCTCCCCTCCCAAAAGCCTAGGAAATAGTGGTCTGTTGGTTGCGGCTAAGTCCGATCTGCCATCAGAAAACATTTCTTAGGTTTTTTCCTCAAAACCCTCCGAGTCGAGCCGAAGCTCTGTCCGAATTACGCCGAAATAATGGCCGATTGGTGACAAAGAGAAGGAGTTTATGTTGATGAATTTCAAGCGGTATGTACTCATTATTTTGGTTTAATTTTTGTTGTTGTTATAAGTTTTTTAATTAATCTATGTACTAACCTCGTTGTTATTTTCTCGTAGGTTGGGGAGGACGTCGATATATACAACCAACGGTATTATCTCGAGCAAGGACCGGTGGATCCAACCGACTTGTACGACCAATCCAACCATCGGTCAAGGGATGTTTGGAACGATCACCCGGTACATACAATTCTTCACCATTTGTCCTTCTTTTATTTTGTTAATGTGCCTAGTGTAATATAAAATTAATTTATGTTTATTTTTTAATCGTGTTGGTTGTTTTCAATAATTTAATCGAATACATAGCGCCACTTACTTCGACTCTTTATAAAGAGATGCACGTCTAAGGAAATGGGGTTTTAAGCGATTATCATATCCTCCCATTACCTGGGAAAATCGGGTATTAAGAGATCCTCGGATCCCCCCTTTTTCTGTCAAAAAGACTGCGTTTCTAAGAAGATGTATACCTCTTCTAAGAGTCTAACGAGTGTTGCTTTGTATTCGAATAAATTATTTAAAACAACTAATACGATTAAATTATTTACCAAACATTTGAATATGTATGTTTCTACTTAAATTATTATTCATTAACAATGTTATTTATGTTAATTAATTTAGTATATTTGTTTTACGATAATATGTATGTACCTCTTTAAATTAGTATTCATTGACAATGTTATTTATGTTAATTAATTTAGTATGTTTGTTTTACGATAATATGTATGTACCTCTTTAAATTATTATTCATTGACAATGTTATTATGTTAATTAATTTAGGACGTTTGTTTTATGATAATATGAAATGTCTTTTTATGATAATAAAATTATGTTTTATGTCGCACCAATTAATTTAATTAAATTAGTTATACGAAAAAAACCCTTACTAATAATAATTAACGTTGACATTTTTTCTAGGAATCACAAACAATAATCCGCTATAGGGGTACCACCAATGTGCTCCCATTCCACCCAGCTATCTTGCCATTTCTCAAAAGGGCACGGTTAGACTCGATTAGGCATTTTAACGGCATCCAAATCGATCGCCAACTCATCACCGCATTAGCCGAGAGATGGAGAAAGGAGACCCATTGTTTCAACTTTAGAGAAGGAGAGGCCACCATCACGCTAAAGGATGTCGCCATCCTAACCCATCTGCCCATCGACGGCAAACCGGTGTGCGTGAGTGATCATCCCCCCGAGGATTGTGACGGTATGCCAGGTTGGCAGCATTTCATCCACAGTCATTTGGGAGTGAAAGTACCGGTGAAGGGTTGCGTTGATGCGACCGATCAGAGGGGTCGCTGACTGGTCCTGGTGTGGCAGCCTCCGTCTGATCCTGCTCATGAAAGGCACCTTCATCAGCTCCATAATGGTAGTTGTGAAAACTACCGCTGCCTGTCAGGAAGTTGTACTGGGCTTGGTTGGGGATGTCCGGTTGAACTTCTTCTTCATATGACGAGAAAGATTGATGATGGCCTGCACCTTGCCCTCCATCTTGGTACTGAAAATAGGAATGAGGATCATGGTAACTTTGGTAGGGATGATCGTCATATAATTCACCTCCACCATGGATACCAGATGTTTGACCGTGTCCAGAATGACCTCCAACACTAACGGCTGGCTCGGTGTAAACGAACATCTCGGCTTTGGCCAACTTGTTGGACCTCAAGAATTCGAGCATGGAATCTACGTCATCTTGAGTGGTTATGGTATATTCCTCATGCCACAATGACCCAGTTGCTCTGTTTGGGTATCGGTACACCATACGATCTACCCTCCTCGTGCCATCCATGCAAGTAACGTCAGTGCATATTCGATGGAGGTCTTCAAGCTTCGGTCTGGTACCGACCGTTATTTTCTGAAAATTGCCACCAACGTAGGTGGCCCCCTTTCCGGTGTCTTCCGTGTAACCATTCCACCGTAAGCCAAGCAACAACTGACGGAATGCCATCTGCACACAAACAAACCATAGTTTTAGTTAATATCATAAAAATCACAGATCACAAATAACAATAAAAAGTAACACAAAATAAACTTACGAGTTAATGTTAATGCAATAAAAAGTAACACAAAATAAAGTTACGAGTTAATGTTAATGGCATAAAAAGTAACACAAAATAAAGTTACGAGTTAATGTTAATGGCATAAAAAGTAACACAAAATAAACTTACGAGTTAATCTTAATGGCAAACACACTAAATAAATATAGATATACAACAGAAAAATGAAAGAGAGAATGAGAGGTGTGAAGAGTAGAGGTTTTCCGGCAAGTCTTATATAGGGAAAAAATTGTGAAA